ATAAGACACCAAGGAACTTCGCCCTGTACAAGGTATTTACATATTGGTTAAAGCATCAAAGACCTTCCAAAAATTGTCCCATCCATATAAATTATGTCCCACAATTAGAGCCCCAAAAGTATGTATCCACTTATTTCTAATCCTGGCCAATTCCCCCACACACTTATCAAACACTCTGTTGTTCCTCTCTTTTCAAACCATTCAAAATATAGTTAATGGTATTAGATTTACAAATTTCGACTTATTATAAACCCCATCCCACGGCCAAAGTTCATTCTTGACCGAACCCCCAATAACCCAATTGATACCCAGTAACTCTTAAACCATATACCATATGCTATAAGTCACCAGACACTAAAGAAGAAGATGATTGCAAGGTTCCGCCGCCTTCTTGCGATAACATCCATGAACCATAATGCGTCCCATTTTCATCAGCTTGTCTATAATGAGAATACATTTTTGACCAGCTTCGCAAGCGAAAAAAGGTATCGTTGGAGGTACCTTCACTTTCCAAATCTGTAAAGGCGGTAACCTCACGCCATCCCCATCTTTGTTGGCCAAATAATCATAAAAGGACTTAATAGTAAAGACACTATCTTTCTTTAATTTCCACACTGCCTTGACCTTGGTACTTTCCATGTGTACATCGGCCAATAACTGAAGAAGTAAAGTAAACTCATCAACCTCTCACTCTTGAGGTTTCTGGTCAAATGCAAATCCCACCCACTCCTCCCATCCACCCCTTTGAATAACATCTCCACCACCACATTTTTCCTTAAGAGTTAAAGCCTAAATTCTTGGAAATTGCTCTCTAAGTTTTCCCCTCCACCACCACATGCTAAACCAATAGAAGTGCTGCTTAAGGTGCTCATTAGTGGCCTTGATGTCTGAATGGCCACTCGCAGCTGAATTCTGGCATTGATGCAATAACATGTTGCTCAGCTCTCCATTGTTGCCAACGATCATCCTGTCCTTGCAATAGAGGACTCTGTTGTGTAAGCAAAAGGGGGCCTGCTGGTTGGGGACAAAATAAGCTCTTCTAGTCAAGACTGACTCAAGGGCTCATTGCTATAGCTATTGATGATTAGGCAACCACTTAAGGGTGGCAGTGGTAACCATGGAGAGTGCTTATGTTTTATGTAATTGATTCCCTTCGAGAGAGCATCAGGAACGAGCACTTGGACTTCTTAGGAGATAGCTTGTGTGTCCTTAACATCTTCAATGCTTCATCCAATTGCTTGAAGTGCTTCTGTTCATTCAAACTGTAAATCCAAATGTCATGACAAATTATCTGCAGAAACTTAAGAAGGAAATCTTTGAAGGTATGATTCATGATAGCCTGAAAGATTGCTGATGATGCATGAATGAGCTCGAAAGGCATTACCCAAAACTCATAATGTCCTTGGTACATTCAAGATGCAATTTTAGAGATGTCTTATTCTCTAACTCTTATCTGGTGGTATCTTGGTTGTAGATCAATCTTAGAAAACATCGAAGCGCCATGAAAGCTCATCTAACAGGTCATCGATGATAGGAATGAGTAATTTGTTCTTCATTGTGAGAATTGAGTTATTTGTAATCCACACAGAAACCCCAAGGCCGGTCCTTCTTCTTAACAGACTAAACAAGTGTCGAGAAGGGACTATGGCACAATGTAATTATGGAGTCTTGCAACATCTTTTGGACTTGCTTCTCTATTTTATTTTTCTGGTAATATGAGTGTCGGTAGGGGCGTATGTTTATTGAGACTACCTTCTGCACTGAGGAGAACAATGCTTCCAATGATTCACTCTGTCTCTCACTAACTAAGGTATTCTCAATTTCAGAAACCATAACCAAGAAAACTGTTTCTCCTTCAACCGCTTGTGCTTGCTTCAGCAATTTCTGAGTTGCAGCTCCAGATAAGTTCCTTAAGTTAATTCCCTATTTTCTTTTCCTTTGAGTTACTTCAGCAAGTCTCCATTAGTAAAATTTCACAGTTGAGTTAACAAAATAAAAAATCATGGAACAGAATTGCTTCATCCAATCAATCTCCAAAATTGTATCATAACCTTCCAATTCCAGCACTCTAAAGCTATAACAGAATTTTTATCCCTGCACCACGAAGAGACATCCGGACACTCAGTATGCTAGATATCTTTTGGCCATTGGCCACCACTAGTGTCCAAGTCCATTTTGCTAACAGCTTATTCTTGATCTTTTAATGGCATTCTCATCGAATAATAAATGTGAGCTACCGCTCTCCAGAAGAATTAATATATGGTGCCCCTCTAGCAACCCCCTAATTTTCAGATTGCTACCGGTATAAATACCTTCAATGGCTTGAATAAATATCGCACTTGTATTATCCTCGTTGATGGCAATCCTCCCACTCATGGGTAATCAATTCCTCCTCTATGGCTATCGTAGTTTTGGATTTGCAACAGTGGCTTAGGAAATAACATTCACCGCACTTGTAATGGGAGGTTGCGCACTTGTAATGGGAGGTTGTTCTTCTAGTTTCATTCTCTTTCGTTGGTTGCCTCAAGGAAACTTGAAGAAAGAAGCAACCTCTACTTTCTGCCCTTCTGGGGTGCCGTGAACCAAGAAGTACTTGTGACAGCATCGAACCCAAGCTCTTGGGTTCACTTCTTTGGAGAGAGGAATCTCTACTTTGGGTAGCATCGCAGAATGGTTCACCACATTCCTGGCGCAGGAAGGACTGTGGATATCTTCAACATCACGCGTTGCTGATGAAGGAAGTACTCCCTTGGCAACCGCAATTACAGCGGATATGTGGCTTCCCTGGTTAATCGACTTCACAGGTCTTGCACCTCCTCTTAACGTCTCCACGATCTGATCAAAATGTGTTTTGGTTTGGTGCTACGGATTATACATTTCCATCACACTGTAAACCTTTGGTCCACCTCTTTCACTGAATCATCCATCTTTTGCAGCATTTGCTGCTCCATAATGGCTGCCTTTCCCTTCAATCATGTCCTTGAAACCATGGAAGCATAGGTCTCGCCTGATTCCAATTTTTTCAGGACTTACTCATTGGCCTGACTTGAATGGCGATAGTAGAGAGAAATAGAGTGAAGAAGTTGACAGAATTTTGAATTTGGAATTTGAATTAGAATTTCTTCTTCCCTCCATAAAAAAAAGTTATATATACTAGCTGAAGGCACTCATTTAGTTACAATCAAAAGTAATAGAAATACAATTTGAATTTATTTTCAATCAAATAACAAATTTTCCTTTGTTTTACCATTTTTCCTTTAATACACACTTTAAGTGGCTTCCTTAGAGTATGATCTTTTTAGGGAAAATAAAATAGAAATTTCTTCTCTTCTTCCTGTCTTTCTACATCTCTCGGTTTTTCTAACCTCCTCGTAAAACAGTCTTTTCTTCCCCAGATTCTTTCAAGTTGGAGTAGAATCAAAGAGATGATTCTGGAATTTTTTCTTGATGGTGCAAGTCTCTTCTTGCCTTTTTAATGCTCCTTTATTGTTATTTATCTCCAAAAAAAAATTATCATTTATTGTCATATAGTCTGTTAAAGTCATATTTGTGACTGTACATTGTTTGAGTTACAGGTTCTTTCTTCATTGCTTTCCAGTTACTTTCCAGGACTCTGATGCATTCAATTTTGTATACGTTTACTTCGTATATAGGTTCGCCTTCTTATTCTTCCAAATCTTGAGCCATATCTTCAACTTCTTGAAAAAGACTTGCTTCTTGAGAAGCAGAGGAACGAGATGAAGAGGCATGAAGCATGGCAAGTGTATGGAGCCTTGCTGGTTAGTGCTTATAGGATTATGTTAAAGTAGAACTTAAAAGATGTGTTAACAGTTATACTGAAACCCTGGAATTTCCAGCGTGCAGCAGGTCAATGCATATATGATCGCCTTAAGATTTTTCCAGCTTTACCATCCCCTCCTGCTCATACTGTATGGGGAAGAAAACAAAAGGTTGTTACTGCGTTGCCAAGTAAGTCATAGTTAGTCTTTCGTCAACTAAAAGAATGCCAAACAAGTTACTCTTATGAATGCCAAGTGAGCCACTAATACATGCTAAAAAAGTTTATGACTGCTATATCTGAAAAAAATCAGGATTTATGTAGAATTCATGTGTACTTATTTTAACTAAGAGAAATGCAAAATGTACGAGGAGAAGATGGCAAATGATGGCTCACTTGGCAAAATAAGAGAAATACACTTATTCTAATCTACTTTTTTCTTTTGTATACCATGACAAAAAGAGAAACGCAAGGCCAGCACAGATCCCTTGGAAGAAGAACCACCGTCTCAGAAATTTGCAAACGATGGCTCAGTTGGTGCAATGTCAACTAATTCCTCACCATCTCACATGCAAGTGGACGCAATAGCTCCAGCTCAATCCGGTGACCCTGATGTAGGCAGAGCATCATCCTCGGGGCAGATACCTGATGATAACAAATCAGACGGCAGAGATAGGAAAGATAAGGAAGATAGCCAGGCCTTGAAGATGTCAGCAATCCTCACTCAGATTTGGAAAGATGATCTGAATTCTGGTCGTGTTTTGGTGTCGCAGTTTGAGCTGTTTGGTGATCGAATTTTCTCTTTCATTCCAGCTCCAGAGATGTCTATCTTCTTGTAACCTATTGTAGGACGGTTTGTGATTTAGGCTTAAGGTTATAAACAGAGATAAGATTAGGATAAGTTTAGTTGTTAATCCACTAATATTAGCAGTTTCAATTACACCATGTCTTATGTTTATGTTCGTCCTGTATATCTCATGTTGAATATGTGGAATATTGTCTTGATTCCTCGCATTTGAGGAGATAATGAATTGATCCTGCTATTCCGAGGAGGCACAGAAGCAATCCTCAATTTCAAGGCTTTATGAGTTGCTGATTCCATATGGCACCATTATAAAGAAAGATGTAATTCTTCTAAACTCTTAAGAGAAGTAAATTTACTATTAACTCATAACTGAAGCTGGTAGAAATCTACCGTCTCCATACCAATGCAACGATTCCCAATTTGATCACTCAATAACAAAACTAAGAAAAAGGACAACAACGAAGAGAAAAATCACACAACAGCAGATAAATCGCTGATATAATGCTAGTGAAAAATCCGTTAAAAGTAGTCAAATTAAGCGTCAAATTTAGTGGACTCCCGGTCAACAGCTTTCTTGAGAAAGCCGTCTTCTTCCAAGACCATCTGAAGAGGCAAGAACCCCATGCCATTAGCCATGGCAAGCATCATATCCTTGATTTCTGCCTTGAACTCCTCCAGGTCCACCGTCCCATTGGAGTCATGATCAAACTGCAAAAACAGGGAGTCATACACGTGAGCCAGCTCTTCTGGGTCAGTCTTCACATCAATGCCAAAATGGGTCTCAAACACCCTCAAGCTCTGCAGCTCCTTGAGCAACTCTGCATAGGAGAGAAGCCCATCCTGGTCGATGTCTAGGTGATTAAAACGATCCCGTATTGATACGTTGAAAGCTTCTTCATCTTCCACGAAGTTGACAATGGTTGCACTGTCCAACAATTCCACGCTCATTGTTGCTCTGCAAAAAACTGCTAAGGTTTGTGTAAGTAAAGAAAAAGTGAAGAAGAAGATTTTGATGGTGGTGGTTCATAAAGGTGTGTGTTATATAGGTGTCAGTTTTGGGCTAGGTGTTGGCATATAACGAATAGGTGCGCATGCTGTTTCAGGCACACTTTCCCTTTAGGCCCGTTGTTTTTGTGTGCCACAGTCTATTTGCATTCTCCTAAAAACCGACCTCATTTAATTGTTTTTCCTGCCCACCTACAACCCGCAATTTATATGTATATATATAATAATTCCAAAAATTTAAAAACCCCAAAAGATATTTTATGGACTTTTTGCATCTATTTATTTCCATGCACAAAAGTTTAAATTTTTATTTCTAATTTAAGTTTATAATATAATTATCATTAAAACTCAAAGAGTCCTATATATATATATATTAATTTATCAAATTCTAGATGATTTTATTAATAATTTTTCTGTTGTGTAAAAGGTAAAAAGCCCAAGGCTATATTGAAGAGAGTTGGAGAATAAACTTGTGTTGATTCGAATCTTGAATTTGAAGAGCACTGAGAGCTTGTGTGGGTTGTTTATGTCTATTGGCCACTGACCATGGAAATGGAATGTTGACCTCTGACTATGGGTTCCCGGGAGCAAAACAGGTTTATCAGTTTATATTTAATTAGGTAAAGATTGATGTTGAATGAGGTGAAATCATTTTCATGTCCTTTAAAAAATGTGTGCGCGCCCTAAATGAATTCAAATCAAACTTTTATTTATTAATAAAATAAATTTATAGATATACATATATATATATTTGTTTCAAATATAGAGTATGAAAGTATGTTTTTAAAATGATTATATTTTAATTATATATTTGTAAATATTTTCAATCAGATTAAATAAATAAGATGTTAAATTAATGAACTGAGATATTGACTTCATGTGAACTAGTGGGCCCACAATTGGGTCAGTAATTCGCGGGCTAATCCAATGGGATTGCCGTGTATAGAAAGTCAGTCATACCCATACGGAGTCAAAAGGCACAGTTATTTTTGAGCAAGTCTCCGCTTAATCTATTGGCGTCCGTACATTTTTTACTCTTTTTGCAGCAGTCAAAAAACACTGACACCTTTTTTTTATCATCAAAAAAGAAGCAACAAGACTTTTACCATAATATAAGAGGAAATTTTCTTTTGAGTTTTTTCAATTAGATCATCTAAACCCTTGCCCAGGCCAGAAAAGACAAGTGAAGATTTGCTTTTGGAAACTGATTTTACTTACATAGGTAGAAGATGGGTAAAGAGGTTCCTTCCCACTTACTCTTTACTGGTACGTTTTTTCAAAGTAATATTTTGAAACAACCGACAGGTCTCAAACAATTACAGACAACAAAACAAACTCATTCAGAGGCTAATTAAAGACAAGAATCTACGGATCCTCACAAACTAGAGGACGACGAACCCAGCTTCAACTAGACTAAACCAGAGTCAAATTTACAATAATCTAAGTAAACATAAAACATGCCGGTGTCTTCTTCAACCTGGGTTTTTAAAAGAGAAGATGAACCCAAAATTTAAATCCACTTGTTTACCAGACGACATCAACTCCGCGCAAAAAGTATTTCCATACCAACTTCATATCAGGATGAACCGTACAGACTTCTGATTGGGAGAGGACAAATACATTACTATGTACATCCGAACAGCAAACTAGAGGTAACAATCAACAATCATATATCCAACAAAGATTTACAGATGCAAACCAGAAATATGCATCTCCCTCTCTCTCTCTCTCTTGTGAAACAATTACTTATCTCTCCGCTGAATGAAACTGGGGGAGAAATGGTGAAATATTATGCCAACAAAAAGTGAAGGAACTGAAATTTTTCTTGACCTATCTACTGATGGTTTCACACAACTGATCACAAATTTAACCACAATGTCCAAGTAGATCCTCAAGTAGTCAATAAACCTCCAAACCCATCAAAGCTGACATGGACGCATAACTTTCCCTATGATACGATGACAGCCTGATGGCCTTCCACTTTCCAATTATAAACCCACATATGATTAACCTAATTGTGTGCTACCAGAGCTCAGCACCTTATTGATTTATTTTGACCAAATAAACATTTTGTTCATACACCAGATTTTTTCTTACACAAAATAAAAATAAACCAAAGATTAAAAAAAAAAAAAAAAAAGAAAATCCAAAATCACCTATAATCCGGCAGCAAGCAATAATTTTCCCCAGACATGAGCCTTCAATTTGTATGTGTTAGGCACCTTTTTAGCCAAAAATTGTACGGGTTAAACTTATCTCTTTGACAAAATGGCTGAATCCAGATATCATCGCATGTTTCCCGAGATAACCTCTGTTATTAATGGTTTAGCATACTCTTCCCACTCGCTAGCCCACCTTGCTGAAGAACTATGTTCTAATGCTCCGTCCCTCAACGACTTGAGTGTATCACATTCATCTGGAAAACCCTTGAAGAGCATCAGTAGTTCATCAGCCAGCTCTGAAGATGATGAAAAGAGGAGGCCATTTTTTCCAATTCTAACTAGCTCTGTAATGCATGAATAAGAAACAGCACAAACAGGCAAACCACAACCGAACATGTCAACAACCTTCATGGGAAGGTCTAATCCTGAAGAAGAAGTATGTAAACAAACACCTAGGTCTGCTGATCCAATAAGTAACGGATAATCCTCAGCTGACAGCCACATGGTACGAAATGCCACACGTTTGAGGTTTAACCGTCTGATTTTCTTTTCATATTTTTCCTTTTCAGGGCCTTTACCTGTAATGATGAACAACAACCTAGGGTACAAGAATTGCTTTTCTTCGGACATTTTCTTCCAGAGTTCATCTTCACTGGTTGAATCATCTTTATCTAACATGGCGGCAACACGTCTGTCATACATTACTGCTGCTTCCAGGAGAATGCCAAAATCTTCATCAGGAGTCCAGCTAGTACTACTCACAACAAGAGCAGGCCTATTAGGCTTTAGGAAAATATCAGCACCAGCCTGTACTGTAAATAACGTTTCACTTTGAGAAAGGCTCCCCAGTTCACTGCTAATGCAATCTCGAAAGCCAACATGATGAAGATCTTTGTCTAATCTACAAAACAACTCATGCTTTTCAACAAGTGATCCCGGACGAAAAAACTCAGGAGGCTGATCATATAACACCGTTGCGTTTATTCCCCAGTTTTGAGCCAATTCATGTTGCATTGCCCTTGTAACACAAAGGGAACCATTAGCCATCTTTCCATAATGCTTCTCAAACCAGCGGTATACAGTGACAAAAAGACTACTTCTTCCAAGGGATAAAGCCAGCAATGTATAGCCAAAGTTATGCCAGTCAATAATAAAAGCAGAGCGCCTTAATGAGCTCGCCCATTTTACAGCCACTAAGGTTGGAACAGAGGGAGGATTCTGCACAATGAAGACATCTGGACGTGGTATTTTAATACAAAGCAACCAAAGAAGCATGATAAACTGGATCATAGGCTTTAGTAAAAGCATTATGGGGTAAAGTATCTTTGGAAAACCTTCAAGGGTTCTAGGCCATTGAGTCATGGTATAAATATGAATAGATGGATGCTCTCGGACAGCTGCGTGGGGTTTGCTACCACCGTATCCAACAATATCCACCTCCATGGATGCCTGACGTGCAAGGGAAAGAGCATGGTATTGCATTCGAGGACTGCGGCCAATATCTCCTAGAACCACCACGCACGCTCTACCCGTCCTAGACGTATTTTCCATTTTCTAACCAGATAGCACCGATACTTCTACCGAGTCCTGGTTAAATTACTCCTTCCTGAATCTACTTCCTTCTCCGACTGTCGTCTACCTTGTAAGCGAAGAGGTGAACTGAGAGAAGAAAATGAAGAAATAGGACTCTCATTCACTCAGTCTTCATCGTTTTCTTCTCCTGGCCCCTTCTAATTTTCCACATCAAAAATAGTATCCTGCCTATTTTTTACACTGTTTTTGCTCCTTTCGGCCCGCTGTTTTCTTTTACACGCCCCAAAATTAATCTTTTTTTCCCAAAAATCATCTTCCTCACTCAAAAACCCTAGATCCTCCTTTTAAACCTCTTTCTTCTCTCAATCTCAGTCGTTTCTAAGTACCCAATACTACTAATTGCGAGAAACTTGAGCACTCACCGAATAAATTTTCCACCCCGCTGCTTCTCTCTGATTTGCCTTCTCCTTCAAACGCGAGTTCTTGATCTCGAGCTTTTCAGCAATCGTAGCAGCAGCTGATTCTGGAGGATTACCTAAAACCTGGTTACCAGAAGGGAAGAGGGCAGATGAGGGCGTAGAGACGAAGACAATGGAATCGATTGAAAGAGACCAAGCCGAATTGCCCGGTGGTGACGCAGGTGATTGTTATGGCGATTGGAAGGTTTTTTTTTTTTATAGCGGGTAAAGAGGGAGAGAATGCTGCATGAAGGTTTTATTTTTCACTTTCGTCCTTCTCCGTTAAATCTTAACGTTCTAAGTTAGGGAAAGGGTATTTTTGTCTAATTATTTGGTAACTAATGCCGTTTTGTTGAATTTGTAAAAATAAAGAGATTTTCTATATATTCTAGAAAATTTAGATATAAATAAATAAATTAAGTTGAAAATCTCTAAAGTCAATTGATGTGAAGTGACAAGTTTAGCTAGTCCAGCTTTAATAATAATAACCCTGCTCTGCTTTTGAGGTTTCATTAATAACCCATTGCTCCTTTTCTTAGCTCGATTATAACCCATTATTGCTCCTTTCGCTGGCCTTAGTTTCTACTTTTACGCTTGAACTTCTGTATGGTTGGTGCTGCGACAATGGCGGTTTCTGGTAGGAAACAGGGCGGTTTCTCCCAACTTAAGTTTACAGCGGAAACACCGCATTTCTTTAAAATAATCCTACAGGATTCTCTTCGAGATGGAAAGTTTGTAATTATCTGTTCTTCCCCTTTCATATTTTCTTCTGGTTATTTTTCGTTTCCTTGTTTAATATATGTAGATATTCAGTGTTCTGATTACCCATATGAAACGGAGATTTCTTTGCTCTTTTTATGCTTTGTAATTTAAGGGTTTTATTTTCTTCTTCTCACAGAAAATACCCGAGAAGTTTTGGCAAAAGTTTGGCAGTGGGATATCGAGTTCAGTAAAACTTGTTACTCCTTGCGGCGCAGTATGGAGAGTAGGAGTGACAAAGAATGACCTTGAGGGTTGGCTGCAACATGGATGGAGGGAATTTTCTGAGCATTATTCTTTAAGTCGTGGAGATTTAGTTGTTTTCAGATACGATGGAGATGGAATATTTTATATTACCATTTTTGATATGACTGCTACTGAGATCGACTATCCATTCGTTGGCTCAAATGGTGAAGTTTTCGGTCCCAGAGAAGAAGGAACTAAGGAAAGGCCTTGCAGGAAACGCAGAGACAAGTCGCCATTGCCATGTCCTAAGCCCTTCAAGTCAATCAAAACCTATCCAGCATCTGAGAAAGTTGGAGGTAAAAATTGTGATGACTCGTTGGCAGCGGATGAAAAATCTAAAGCTATTCAGAAGGCCATTGCTTTCAAATCCAACAATCCCTTTTTCCTGATTGTCATGCAACCATCTTATATTAATTCAGCATTGGTGAGCTTCAAGATGGAACTTCCCTAGAACATCATGTATACATTAAATCATATGCCTAAGCAAGAGCTCATCATAATTTCTCTTTGCATGTCTGTTAATAATCTTCACAAAAACCATTATGAATGGATAATTCTCATAGCATAAATTGATAATTTCCTCATCTCATGTGTTATTAAAATATTAAGTGTCTTGAGGAACTTTATTTTGTGGCAGACGATACCTGTTTGGTTTGTTAAGAAATATCTCACTGAGAAGCATGGGGAAATGATCCTTCAGATTTTAGATGGGACTAGTTGGACTGTTGGTTATGATGTTGCAGTGTGGAACCGTAGAACACATGGGAGATTTTATTGCAAATGGAAGGCATTTGCAGAGGATAACAATCTTGAAGTTGGGGATGTTTGTGTTTTTGAACTGATTAAAAGAGCTCAACTTATGTTCAAAGTAATCATTTACCGAAATAATGGCAGTCCGAATTGTTACCAAACACAAGGTAATTAAGTAAAGAGTTTCATTAAGTTCTTCAGCATCTTCACTGAATCTTAAGAACAAAACTCTCAATAATGTGTTTTAACAAATTCTGCGATGTCTTTTACAGGCATGTCGTCTACTACTAGAAAATGCCTAAACTCAGAGGAATGCCCGACTGTCCAACCGACAACTTGGAACAAAATAGCTTGTCAGAGACCTCTTGTTTTTAACTCAAAAAATCCCTTCTTTGTGGTTGTGATGAAACCATGTCATGTTAATCCCAAAAAAACTAACTCGGTATGGTTTTGGTCAATATCCCTTTGAATTATCCTTAGAACAAAAACAATTGACAGAATTAACCATTATTTCTGGTTTTATGTATCAGCAAATTCCTAAGGGGTTTGCAGAGAGGCATTTAAAAGAGGGCAAGGGGGAAGTACATCTTCAAACCCAAGATGGGAGGAGTTGGGATCTTCAGTACAATGTGCATGTCTCTGGGGGTCGGCTTAGAGCTCATTTTGATTCTCGTTGGAGAACATTTGTACAGGGCAATAATCTGAAAGCAGGTGATACTTGTTTCTTTGAGCTGATTCCGGGCCCTAAAACTATGTTTAATGTTGTTATCAAACGAGCCAAAAAAGATGCAAATCATGGATTAACTACTAGATATGAAGGTAATTAACTCAAGCACCAAATTTTGCTGCCAAAAACCGTATATGTCTGATTCCATTGGCAATGTTAGAGCTGGAAATACTTCCATGGAAACGGGTTTTCAAAATCCAACACGTTTGGAGGCTAATATTTACAAAATCCTTCCTAGTTGGAACAAAAAGGTTCTGATTACTGGTATTGTTTTACTTATTATAGGTGAATGCAGAAAACTGAAGATGGAAACAGGTGTTGAGACAACCCAGAAACATTCTTCTCAAGCTACTGCATCTGGTAGAGAATTTGGCTCTAAGTAGCCGTTCTTCATGGTTGTTATTAGCCGACGTTGTCTCAAGCGTCGTTGTGTGGTATATTTTGTTGGTTGTGATAACTATTTACCATCGAGAGTTGGATCATATATACCCCGGTAGCATTCAAACACGTCTTGATTTTGTGCAGTGCATACCAACACGTTTTGTAAAGGAATATATAAAGAAGCATGCCATTTGCGCTGCACTCGAAACTGCAGGCAGATCATGGGCGGTCAAATTAATTTATTCTGGGGGTAAATTTATGTTATCGACTGGTTGACCTGCATTTGCTAGAGAAAATTCTTTGCAACAAGGAGACGTTTGCGCCTTTAAGCTGATGAAAAGAAGCGATATAGTATTGGAATCTCGGGGCAGTAGTAGATAAGAGGGTGTTGAGGAGATGATATTTTTGTATTTGGCATGCGTAGGAAACCTGATGAAGATGATCAACGACTTTGGATGCCATCAAAAGCATGATCTTTGAATTTAGATCTTAGAGTATGCAACCCAAACCTAGAAGATAAGGAAGGTTTTGGAGGGGACATATGTGCTATCCAAAAGGGTTTTGAATGCTGTAAATCTTCCTTTAATTTTGTTTTCTTTGTGTAGGTATCTTCTACAAGTGCCGAATATTTTCCTCGTCGAAGTCACCTCTTTCTTTTAATCTTGGAAACGGAAACGGGCTGGGTCTAGAGATTTTTTTTTATTTTTTTCAACTAAACTGGTTTCACTGGTAGACGCACGATTAAAATCCAATCAAGATAATTTAATTTCTACTTAAATTTGTTATATTTTAATTATAAAATAAAAATTAAAAGTAAAAATAGCTAATTTGAATTTGTGTTAATTTTAGTTTATTATAATCATACTTAGATTTTTTCAATTAGGATTAATATTATTATTATTGTTTTTTTGTTAATTTAAATTGATTATATATTTGAAGAAATATAATTTATTTATATTAAAATTATATTGGCAGTATAAATTTTAAAGTTGTATTAAAGCTAAACTTCCTGATTACAAACTTAATTAATTAAAAGTCATATTAATTATAATTAAAGTAATTAATTAAATTAATAAACTAATGAAACTAAAATTTATTATTGAATAAAGAGTAATAATCTTTGTTTAAATTTATAAGGAAACAAAGACAAATGTCAAATGTTATATTTTCGTTTCTTGAAATAATTTTTAAACATAGAGAATAATTTAAATAAACAAAAATATAATTAAAAATAGTCTAATTTCTTTTCAATTGATTAAAAAATAAATTTAATGCCTATCTGAAAGTTCTAAAATAAAAATAAATTTTAAATAATACCCATAGCTATTAATTTTAATAAGAATTTTAAGAAAAATATTACATATCACATTTTTTTTTTTAATTTCTTTAGCTGAGGGACCCTTTATGTGTACTGAAGTCTAAGATCCGGTTTGTTTGTTAGTAAATAGTAATCAATTAATATACGAAATTATACAGACGTGATAAAATTTTATTTGTTTTAATTTTCAACATGATAAAATGGTAGCAAATGATAAACGATTTATAAATTTTAGATAAATTTTAAAAACTACCAAATTTGTGATATATAATGAATAAATAATTTTTTTTTTCGTTATACTCTCATAAAATATGCTTAATTTTCATTTTACCCTTCTAAACAACCATCATCATAAAATATGTTTAATAAATTAACTCATGGTAAATGATTATTTTAAATATATTTTAATTTTTTATTTTTAAAATAATTTTATATTTAATATAATAATATATAATTACAATTATTTATTTTTTATATATAAATAATTTTATTTTTATTAAAATTAAATTAATATGATAATATAAATAATAATTATTTATTTTATTAAATATAAAGAATTTAATTTAATTATGTATAATAATTATTTATTTAAATATAAATTTAATTATATTTTTATATAATTTATTTTTTTATTATATATTTTTTATTATTATATATAATCAGATAAAAATAAATTAATAATTTTTTATTAAAAATACAATTATATTATTTTATCATTCAAATAAAAATATTATCATTTATATATATATATATATATTTTTTTAAATTCATTATTATATTTAATTATCATACATTAATTATTCATCAATAAAATTTAAAATTTATACAAACAGAAAAAATCTTCGGTACAATCTTGCAGTGAACAGTCTTTTTTTAAACTTGATATAACGTTTTAAATACTTTCTCTAATTAATACTGTCAATTAATTAAGTTAAAAATCTTAAACGTCAATTGACGAGTTAGAGAGTCCGGCTTTAATAAAAGCCTGCTCTGCTGTTGAGGTTTCATTAATAAGCCATTACTCCTTTTCTATGCTCGAGTATAAGCCGTTGTTACTCCTCATAGTGACCTTAACTTCTACTTCGACGCTTAAACTTTTCTATTTTCATTTAAATGCAACTGCTCGAGCCGGCTGTCTGTTGAAACTGTGCGGTTGGTGCTCCAACAATGGCGGTTTCTGGCAGGAAACAGAGAGTCTTCTTCCAACTTAAGTTTACAGCGGAAGAACTGCATTTCTTTGAAATAATCCTTCAAGATTCTCTTCGAGATGGAAAGCTTGTAATCATATCTTATATATCTCCACTCATTCATTTCATATGTTCTTCCCATTTCCTCTTATTTCCTTCTGGTTATTTTTCGTATCCTTGTTTAATACATGTAGATTTTCAGTATTCTGATTACCCATATGAGACCGAGGTTTGTTTGCTGTGTTTATGCTTTATAATTTTTTATTTTCTTGTTCTCACAGAAAATACCCGAGAAGTTCTGGGGCAAGTTTGGAAATGGGATACCGGGTTCAGTAAAACTTGTTGCCCCTTGCGGCGCAGTATGGAGAGTAGGAGTGACAAAGAGTGACCGTGAGGTTTGGTTGCAACATTGATGGAGGAAATTTTCTGAGCATTATTCTTTAAGCCATGGACATTTAGTTGCTTTCAGATACAATGGAGATAGAAAATTTCATATTATCATTTTTGATGACTGCTACTGAGATCGACTATCCATTCGTTGGCTCAAATGGTTAGGCTTCCGGTCCCAGAGAAGTAGGAAGTAAGGAAAAGCCTTGCAGGAAACGCAAAGACAAATCGACATTGCCATGTCCTAAGCCCTCTAAGTCCTTGAAAACCTATTCAGCATCTGAGAAAGTTAGAGGTCAAATTTGTGATGACCTATTGGACTTCCTTTGTCTGACATCATATCCTATCAACGGTTTCATGTTGTATCGTGTCTGTTGTTTTTTACTTACGTTAATCCGTCAACAGATCGCCATGAAGGTTTGTTCAGTGATGGATTCCGTCAAGGAAAGGTTCCTAAGGGAGTCGAACCATTGGCAGCCGATGAAGAATCTAAAGCTCTTCAGAGGGCCATGGCTTTCAAATCCAACAATCCCCTTTTTCTGATTGTCATGCAACCATCTTATATTGATTCAGAGTATCCATTGGTCAGCTTCAAGATAGAACTTTTCTAGAACGTCATATATACATTAATTCATGTGCCTAAGCTAGAGCTCATCATAATTTCTATTTGCATCTCTGTTAATAATCTTCACAAAAACCATTATGAATGGATAATTCTCATAGCTTAAATTGTAAAATTTCCCCATCTCATCTGTTAGTAAATGTCCTAGTGTCTTAAGGAATTTGATTTCATGGCAGAAAATTCCTGTTTGGTTTGTTAAGAAATATCTCACTGAGAAGCATCGGGAAGTAATCCTTCAGATTTTAGATGGGCGTAAAACAGATGGGAGATTTTATTGCAAATGGAAGGCATTTGCGGAGATTAACAAGCTTGAAGTTGGGGATGTTTGTGTTTTTGAACTGTTTAACAGAACTCAGCCTTTGTTCAATGTAATCATTTATAGAAATAATGACAGGCCGAATTGTTCCCGTTCACAAGGTAATTAATTAAAGTTCTTCAGCATCTTCACTGAATCTAAAGAGCGAAAATATGTAATGTCTTTTACCAAATACTTGAATGTCTTTTAAAGGCATGTCTACTACTACTAACTCAGAGGACCACCGGAGAGTCCAACCAAAAACTTGGAGCAAAATAGTTTGTCAGAGACCTCTTGCTTTTAACTCTAAAAATCTTTTCTTACGCGGTTGTGTTGAAATCAAGTTATGTCAGTCTAAAAAATCCTTGCTCGGTATGGTTTTGGTCAATACACATTTGAATTATCATTAGAACACAAGCCACTGACCGAATTAACCATTATTTCTGATTTTATGTATCAGCGAATTCCGAGGAAGTTTGCAGAAAGGCATTTAAAAGGGGGCAAGGGAGGAGTACATCTTTGAACAGAAGATGGGAGGAGTTGGGATGTCCAGTACAATGTGCGTGTGTCCGGTGGCTGTTTAAGAGCTCATTTTGCAGATCGTTGGAGAGCATTTGTACAGGGCAACAATCTCAAAGTGGGTGATACTTGTTTCTTTAAGCTGATTCGGGGCCCTAAAACTATGTTTAATGTTGACATCAAACGAGCCACAGGAGATGCAAATCATGGATTAACTACTAGATATGAAGGTTCGGAGAAAACCAGGAAACATTCTTCTCAAGCTACTGCTTCCGGGAGAAAATTTGTGTCCAAATATCCTTTCTTCATGGTTGTTATTAGCCCACATTGTTTCAAGCATCATTGTGTGGTATGTTTTTCGTTGGTTGTCATAACTATTTACTATTGAAAGTTTGATTACATGTTTTGACTCTGTGCAGCAGCACATACCAGCAGGTTTCGCAAAGGAACATATAAAGAAGCATGACATTTGCTCGATAGTTGAAACTGCAGACGGATCTTGGGCGGTGAAGTTAATTAATTCTGGTGGTAGATTTACATTTTCGGCTGGTTGGGCTGTGTTTGCTAGAGAAAATTCTCTGCAACAAGGAGACGTTTGCGCTGGTAAAGAAAAGCGATGTAGTATTGAAAGTGTGCATGTTTCGGAGCAGTAGTTGATAAGAGGGCGATGATGAGATGATATTTTGTATTTGGTATGTGCAGGAAACCTGATGAAGATGATCAACACCTTTGGAAACGATCAAAAGCATCGAATTTTTGAATTTAGGTTTTGAGTATTGCAAACAAAACCCAGAAGACTGAGGTTGGTTGTGGATTTCCAATTATATTATCGAATTGGGTTTTGAATGCTGTAAATCTTCCTTTGTTTTGTTTTCTTTGTAAATCTTTTGTTTTTGAAGGTTTAGGTGTTGGGCTGACTGATAGAATTTGATTACAGAAATGGGCCTGGGTTACTGTTTCTTTTTTTTTTTTTTTTTTTTTCTAATAAACTGGTTCCTGCAGTGTAGAACGAGACTTGGTACATTAATTTGCTGTTAGACACGAGATTAAAATCTAACTAGCATGTTTAATTTGCTTTAAATCCAATTTTTTCTATTTAAATTTTTCAATATTCTTATTTTATTTAGTCTAAAATATAAATAAATTTAATTGTAAAATTAAAATTAAAATTTGTATTAGTTTTAATTTATTATGACAATAATCAAGTTTTGTGTTAATTGTATATTTGAAGAAATATTAATCATTTATATTTAAAATTATATTGGCAGTATAATTTTAAAATTTTACTAAAATAATTAAAATTAAAATT